TAAGCGTGCTGAAAATGGCACCTTAATTGAAGGTTTCCTGCGTGAGGTGGCTGATTTCACACAAACATCGCGGCGTGGCTGCCAGCAGCTCCTGGTTGCTAGGCTACATTTACATGCAGCGGCTCTCTTTCTCCCTTTTCATTAAATATGGCTTTTGGAAACAGTGAAAAGGGAGCTTTCATGTCAGCCGCTCGCTCCAACTATCACTTGCCTTTGTGCTGTCTTGATTGGTCGGCTTGATTGTAACACGACTAACGAGGCACAAGATAAAAGTCGGAGTGAAAAGCGAACAAGGACAAATGTTCTCCTTGGTGTACAATAGGAGCTTTAGAAGCCAGAGCAGGAGCGCTTCACACTGGATGCAGTGAAAATCTGACAAACTGAGTTTCAAGTTTAAAGTTTGGGCAACAGATTGATTCACAAAGGAGATGTTATAAGCTGCTTTATCCCATTTGCAAATCAACACATCAGTATTTTTACATTGATCATGGTTCAGATAACTGGCAGCTCCATTGTAGTGACGAAGCCACTAAAGTCATACAAACTCTTCCTGCATCCATCAGATCACTGTTTTGGCTCCAACAGTCTAGTTTCCAGCAGCAGCTGCAGGCGGAAATGAGAAAAAAAAAAAGAAGCTCTGATAAATCCACTGCACACTACCTGCACAGCAACAAACGGTAAACAGAAAATACTAGCAACTCGCTGGTGAATGTGGTCAAACACTGAGCAGCTGAAGGCAGGAATCTGTTCGACTGTTGCTGTTAAACCCTCACTGAGTCCTCACCTGGATGCTTCTGGATATTATGGCAGCATGATGAAGCTGCACTGTTCTGTAGAAATCTTCACTGTCATCTTATGTCTGTTGTTAAATGTTAAATCAGTTTGAATTCTGCAGTCTGGTTGAGTTTGTGCCTCAGCAGCAGCTTCCAGGTCAGACGACTGCTCAACTCCAGTATCAGCTGTGATCAACCCCCTGCAGCTGAACGCTGGTCATTTGTCGCTGCTAAAATCTTACTTATTACCCTTTTAAAGGCTGCCTGATTAAACCGGTGGATCCTAGCAGAGAGTTCTGGCCCACATTAGCATGAGCAGAGTTCGGGGACGAGGACCTCTGGATGTTTGGGCGTCATTAGGAGAGACGGCCCAAGGAGCTGCCCGAGGCTCTGGCCGCAGCTACCGTATAAGAAAACGCAGGACCAAAGCCAGATTGTAGACTCCAGACTCGCCGCAGGCTCTGAACCTCCATCCCTGACCCTCCACTGGGAACCTCCCGAGGCCAACAGAGTGTCAACACAAGGAGGGAGGAAGAGAGAAAACAATGCAGCAAGGCAGACAGTAAAGGATATATTCCAAATAACTCCAAATAAAATCTAGGATATTTAACAGCCTTTTATAGGGAAATGTTTCAAAATGACTGATTATATAAGATGCTAGACATTAGTGTGTAGTGACAGAGAATGGTGCATAGACAAAACCCATTTATGTACTTCTATAGCTCCTTGATTTAGTAGTTTGTACTGTTATTATGCAAATTCCTGCTACAGGAGAACTAAACCAAAACAGAGATAAAAGTCACCTCACAGTGCCATGAATGTAAATATAAATGAGCTGCCTGCGGAGAAATTAAATTATAATCTGGGTGACAACAGGTTTGAACACAGAGGAGAGCGCCTCTTCTTCATGGCTTTATAGTCTAATGTCTCCCTCTAGAGGCAGCACAGCTTCTCTCATGAAAACTGCCTCTTTTTAGTTTATTTTTTTGACACTAATTGTGGAACTTTGGCTTCAAACCGATTATCTTTCCTCCAAATTGCCTTTTTTCTTTGGCCCATGAAGCAGACACATGCACAAGGCCTGCTGACTCCTGAATCCTGATTCCAGATCTCCAGCCATCGAAAGAGTGGCAGCTCTGACGTTATTTGATCTTATTGTAGATGCTGTGCATAAAGATGCAGGTTGTGATGGTGTCTAATCATATCGAAGGGTAAAGAGGAGCCATTAAAGTCAGTCTAGAAAGGCTGTTAAACAAGCTGTGGGTTTGTGTGAAACAAGAAATGACACAACTAAAGAACATTTAGAGGGGAAAAAACAAAAGAAGAGCTGTGCAGCTGTTTTATTTAATTATTCTCTGAATTCTACAAGGCTGGTGTGTGCTAACATTGTGGCTCTTTTGTTTTGGTCTCAGATGTTGGTGCTCTAGCGACATCTGGTGGCGGAGTGTTGCACAGAGCAGCTAGAAAAAAAAACTGGTGTTAAGTAGATTTGCATTTGAACGTTTTGCTTCTTCTCTTCCATTTATCTTCTTACAGCTCCTCAGATCAGCTACAACACTTAGATGCTGCCTACACACTGATGCATTAGAATAAACAATCTAATCCATGATAATATCAGTTCAGGGCCAAATTCCTGCACAACCAACAGCTGTCCTATGTTCTAACTTTATACCTGAGGTTCACACTGTTGATAATCCTTGTGTACTTTGATTTAAAATGACTTTAAACACATTGCTGAAGCACATTTGCGTTGTTGCATTGGTTCTTTTACTGCTTCTACCACCGACTAAGAGCTGTAAAGTGGCAGGAACTTCATTCTCTTAAATCAGAAATGTAGGTTTCAGTTGATCTTCCTCTGATTGGTTCTTGGTAGACTTTAGACGGTACAGAGTTGCTATGAAGGGAAAGCTGAACGTATGATCAGTCTGCAAAAATAATGTCGTTTTCTTCATTTCAGGTGTAAAAATATCTGCATGCTGTGACATTTTTCTGCCTTTATGGAAATCCTCATGTGGTTCAGGTTCATAATTCAAAACACAAACAGCACTACTGCCCCCTAGTGGCAACAACAGCAAGGTCTCACTTCATATGTCCAACGTTTTTCTTTACATCTTTTTAGATGGTCTAGTATCAAGTACAGGAATTATTAATCACTAAAATGAAAATGGCTGTAACTGCAGTATGTTGCTATTTCCTGGTTCCTCATTAAACTTCTTCTTCCAGGATGTACAACTCAGGTATGTTTTCACCTGCACACGTCGTCTGTGTGGTAACTTTAGACTTCTTCTTAGTGAACTGTTCAATCTGCTTTGCAGTTTTCCAACTGAGTGTGGCAGATCTGAGCAGAGATATGACTGTAGATGAAACGCATAACATAGGAGGTCTCACTCTGCAGTCTTTCCCAGGAACTACTGAGGATTCAGGATGGTTGGTTGGTTGGTGGTGTCATAGACGCATAAATATCAAAGTTTTTAATCACGAATAAAAATGTTAAAATAAGATAGTGGTAGAGATGAACTAACAAACATCCCAGAGACTTTCCCTCTTCTGTTTGAGTGTAAAACAGATTAATATCTACCTGGATGGACACACATAACTATACTCCTGTGATCGTGGGTTTATTTGTTGGTTCATTTACCGTGGACAGTGAGTGGACAAGATCAATAATGCTACATCTTGTCAACTCCTGCGACCAGATTTTGACAATTTATTTGATCTATAAGTTTTACTTTTAATATTGGACAGCACACCGAGTTATTTACAGTTAACATCTAAGCCCAGTTCTGTGTATGTCAAAGGATCTAAAGTCAACACACATAACGCCAACATCTGTAAATGTTTGAGGTTGAAGCCCTACAGTGGTGTTTATGGGGAGATTTTATGTGAGGATTAAAACCCTACAAAAGTTCTACAAAACATTACTTTAACTGACTATTGTAGATGGTAAAGTGGAGGCCCTACAGACAGTGTTGATCAGGGGTGCCCAATCCTGGTCCTCGAGAGCCCCTATCCAGCATGTTTTAGATGTTTCCTTCTTCCAACACACCTGATTCAAATGATCAGCTCATCTTCAAGCTCTGCAGAAGCCTGATAACGATCCTGATCATGTGAATCAGGTGTGTTGGAAGAGGGAAACATCTAAAACATGCTGGATCAGGGCTCTGGAGGACCAGGATTGGGCACCCCTGGTGTTGATTATAGAAGTGAACCTAACTAATGTAGCATAACTAAGACTGTTATATATAGTATTATATATTGAAATTAACCTTATTAATTACATATTTTAGCTAAGACCCTACAGAATTATTAATTATGGAGAATTACCTGATTCAACAAAAATATACATGAAAACCCAACAAATCCACAGATTCTCTGGATCCCTTTTCAGCAACCTTTGTTTTTTTGTTTTTTTTTAAATTTAATTTTATTTATTCACTGTTTAGTAAATAGTTTGTTTGCTTTATTTTATATTGTTTTTTATTGTACATTTGGCAGAACCAGGCTCAGGGAGGGCAGCCGTCTGCCTCAAGTGGTCGGAGTGACGTTAAAGGAGGAAAACATTAGTGGAAACCAAAATCACACCAGTTGAAATTATAACAAAAACAATTTTCTCCCTTTTTACACAAATTTTAACACTGAATTAGCCTTTTTTTGTTTTGTTTTTGTTTTTTTAGACAAAACATTTTCCAAAAAGAAGGTCTTAGAAGCTCTTAGTTAACATAAGTAAGACTCTACGGTATTGTGTAAATGGACCTAACTAATTTAATACTGCAACTATGACCCGATAGTATTAAATATGAAAATGAACCTTACAAATTAAATCGTGTCTCTAAGACCCTACAGCATGATTAATGATGGAGAATTACATGATTCTACAAAAATATCCTTGAAAACCAAACAAATTCATGGATTCCCTGTTTGCTATATGTTTTCTCTCTTGTTTTTTTTATTTTTAGAAATATTATTTTTATTATCTTGAGCAGAACCAGGTTCAGGGAGGACTGGTGGAAACCTACATTAAACTGGTCCAAGTTAAAGCAAGAAGCAATTAGCCATACAGAGAATAAGAAAACAAGATATTACATATATATATATAATATACAGGTTGCATGAGTAAGCATGTTAAAAACAATCCATCCAAAGCCGGGAGCCGCTCTTCACACCGAGCGGCTCCTCCTGCTGCCCAATAAACGATCTCCGGTGGAAGCCGGAAGCAGCGGGCTGCTGCTCTCCGTGGCCCCGCCCTCCGTCAGCTGTCAGTCGGCCGCCTGCAGTCGCTCAGCCCGCTGCCTCCATGGTCCCGTCCGCGGCTCCTGCGCCCCTGTAGCTCCTCCACCATGGGGGACAACGACGACAGCGACATCATCGAGCACCACGTCGAGGAGGAGATGGAGAAGAAGGGCAGCCACGCAGCGTCCTCCTCCTTCCTGCTGGAGAGCGTCAGTCCGTCCGAGCGCGAGGCCCACAGCAGCACCCAGTCCTCCCACAGACTGCTGGCCTACAGCGACGCCCTCATCTCCATCATCGCCACCGTCATGGTGAGATTTCAGCGATACATCTGAATTAGAGCGTCTGTTTGATGAGTCTGCAGAGACATAGTAGGAGATGTGAGGAAGGAGCAGTGTGGAGGCACCAGCAGTCCCACAACATCATAATGAACCGTATTTATAAAGCAGCTTTATCAAATACTATCTAAAATTAAACCAGACTACGCAGGTAAAATGAGAATGAAGCCAACAGGGATCTAGAACCCAACAAAATCAGTAAACAGGTAAAATATATAGGTGCCTCCTTGAAAGTAGTTCCGTTTTACCTTTTTTTTGTCCAAAAATTAACAATAAGTGGCTGAGTCAACAAGGGTGCAGCCAGTTGTTGCTAGAAGTGACATCATTAGTAGATGGTAGATGGTCTGAGGTCAGTGAATGTGTCTCAGTGATGGTGGTATAAACACTCCTGTATGTGGACGGTCCAGTCACTGGTGGATCCGTACTGTTGGATTTAACCAAACTGTGAAGACTAAAGAACACTCCAAGCAACTCTAGAAAAATGTTATCGAAAAGCAACATCATCGGATGGACACAGGAAAACTCCCAGTTACAGAATATCCCTTAGAGTCCAGTTCAGTCCACCAGTAGGAAATAGAAGGACTGTGGCACATGTATACATCTGCCTAGAGGAGGCCTTCCTCAAAAACTGACTGACGGTGCAAGAAAACGACCAGTGAAGGAGGCCACCACCTTGAAGTCAACAGGAAGAAGGTTCTTTGGCCTGATGAAACCAAAACTGAGCTTTCTGGACCATCAGACCAGATGTTAACACTGCACACTGTGGTGGCAGCATCATGATGCAAAGCATGGTGGTGGCAGCATCATATGTTGGGTTACTTTAATAGCAGAAAAATGCACCTTAAGGGATTTTTAATGCTCATTTAATAGAGTTTTCATTTGTCATTGTTTCACAGTTATCTATCATGTAATATTAGATCATTGTTATCGAATAATTCAAGTGTGAGCAGAGTTTTAATGCTGCAGCGAACAGGATTCCCAACAGGAAACTGTAGCGCTGCTGTACGAGTGCGAGAGCAGATGTATTATATTGATAACCATCTTGAAAATAAACCAGAGCACCGTGTTCGTTATTAGCATCTGTGCTGCACAGAATGAGGCCGAAACAGAAACAAACACACCGAACTGAGAGGAATAAAGCAAGAACGGCATATTTTAAAATACCAACTCAACATGACCCTTCACTGTCAGACTACCTGGAGTGACAAGTTTAATGTTTCCCCCCCAAGAAATATATCAAACACTTGATTTATAGTGGAAATGTGTTTTATTTTTGTAAAGGAAAACACACAATTCAGGCACAAATTGACAAGTCAAAATATAATAAAATATAAAGCAGTAAGACTCAATCTGAGCTGTTTTTACATGTTTACAGGATTAATTTACTCCTCTGTCCTCTTTTGTTTCTTTTTTTTTTTTTGGGCGAAGTAACATCTTTAAATGACACAAATGCATGCGTCTCCTCTAAAGTTAGCCGACGCCAATGCTCACAAGTTCTTAAAACACAACACAAAAGCCAAATAAACACACAGAAGTGGTGCTATAAATGTTGTATCTGATCTTGTCCAGCCTGTGAGGACGGCTAAATCCCAGCTCTGTAGACTGAGACGCTGTTGTGGGACAAACTCAGAAATGTTGGCATTATACACAACTATGGATGATTATATGAATAAAAGAAACACTTCTGAACACATCTATGCCCTGGACGTGGCTGAATGTAGATAAATTAATACCAATATCTGGAAAAACTCACATGTAGTCGACATTTATGTGTTGATTTTAGATCTATGACCAAAAATCCAAAATAGATTCATGCAAACCCAAAGTGATCAAATGGCTGCACAGATGGCAGAAGCAGAAGAAGAATGTGAAATATTTTAAACATACAAGTTTGTGCAGGATTCCAGGTTTTATTGGAAGGTCCCTTCAGATTCAGGGATCATAGTTTTCTAATATTTCAGGGTCAGAGTTTAGTTTGTCGCCTCAAGTTGTCCAACAGTGCGAGAGAGAACAAAAGCGAAAGGTGTGTCACGATAACAAGTCCTGCTTTTACAGTTTTTATGGAGTCATTGGACCAACATTTGGTCACTTAATCAGCTGCAAAAGCAAACAGACAACACGTGTAGACGAAGTGTCTCGAATGTGACTCGACTCATTTTGGGTGCTAATTATTGAGCTGCGGGCTGCAGGGTGGCGCAGATGGTAGCACTGTTGCCTCACAGCTAGAAGGTTTGCGTCCCGGTGGGGGCACCGGAATCTTTCTGTGTGGAGTCTCCATGCTCTCCCTGTGCAGCGTGGGTTCTCTCCAGGTTCTCCGGCTTCCTCCCACAGTCCAAAAACATGTTGAGGTTAATTGGTGATTCTAAATTGTCCGTAGGTGTGAATGTGAGTGTGCTTGGTTGTCTGTCTCTAAGTGTAGCCCTGTGATAGACTGGTGACCTGTCCAGGGTGTCCCCTGCCTTCACCTTGAGTCAGCTGGGATAGACTCCAGCCCCCCACGACCCTAGTGAGGATTAAGCAGTGTATAGACAATGGATGGATTATTGAGCTTTGCATTTTGCAGCAAGACGAAGCTCGCGGACCGTTTTTATCATTCAGCTCAAGATCCCGTCGATTTCTAATATGAATAAATATCAAACATGTCTTGTAGCTCACATGTACACTAAAGCTCATAAACCCTCATTACATTGTTGTATTTATCATTTTTTCCATTTTTATTCAACCTCATGTTTGCTTATTAGCTTTTTTTAGTTTTGTAGGATAATGGATTGTTTTTGTTTGTAACATACATTAAAGTGTCTTATTTAGTATCCAGTTTTTTTTTTTTTTTTTCCTAATCTTACCTACAAATTTGCTTTTGTTTTGTACATTTTTAAAACTCTGGATATGAAATCATCTGCAGTGTCCCTCATAGAAATGCAGCTTTAAGTAACTGCACTTTGATTGGTTCACAGATTTTACCCGTCGCTCACACCAAAATGGAAGACAACGAGGTACGAGGTCTTCCATCATTTTCTCACTTTCTCAGTAAAACCACAACAGCACGTCATCATTTTTGAATAATATCCAGTGATGTTGGATTTTAACTAAAGTTTGCGTTGAAATGTTGTTTCTCTGCAGGAGTTGAGACAAAGCGTTCAGCTTCTGCTCACAACCAAGATCGCTGTTTACTTAATGACGTTCCTCATCGTGACTGTTGCCTGGGCCGCCCACATCAGGTCAGATCTGTCATTATTATTAATGTCATTACCAGTAGTAGTCACTGTATGTTGTTGCTGCAGCAGCTTTCAGATTCTCATCGTGGTTGAATTTTCAGATTGTTTCAGGTGATTGTGCGCATCGATGACTGTCTCGCTCTGCTGAACCTTGTAAGTACAGAATCACTGTCGTCTAAAATCTGCTGCAACCGTCGTTTTTCATATATTTTAATATGATGTGACACAAAAGCTAAAGAAAGACTTAAACCTGGATACAATCTGTTTTATAAACCGGTTCATGTGTGATTGTAATCAGGGAAAAATGTTGTTTTCCTTGTGAAGGAACGTTTCCTTCTTTCTAATGTGAAGTTTCACTTCTGCTTCTGTTTCAGGCCTGCATGATGCTGATAACCTTCCTGCCGTACACGGTGAGAACGAGCCACCGCAGCGAATGAAGCTTTGTCTGCTGTCGTCATTTAACCTTTAAAATTATTGCTTTTCTTCGCAGTTTTCCTTGATGGCGACCTTCCCTGAGAACGTCCTGGGGATCTTGCTGTTCTGCGGCTGTGTGATGGTGATCGGAGTCATTCAGGTGAGGCAGATCAATGTCTACATGTATCTACGCTTCTCTCCGTTCTGTGTGATCTCACGCTTTGTAATCCTGACCGTCTCGTTCCTTCAGTCGCTGATCGTGCTGTACGCCTTCAGCCGGCCCTTCCTGCTCAACGAACAGATCCAGATCTCTGAGAACCAGACCTACTACAAGCACCACATCCTCAAAGTCATCATGAGAGTTCCCATCATGTGCCTCTTCGCCAGCATCTTCTCCTTCATCTTCTTCCAGCTGGTCGGTGGTTTTTATTTGTCTTTCCTTTAGTTGTTTAATGTGAGACATTTAAGTGAAGACATTGCTGCATGAATTTCTCAAAAAAAAAAATCAAGCTATCATTTGATTCAGAAATACAAATGGAAATTACGTTTTCAGAGGCGGAGAAGCTGAAACCACTTAAAGCCAAGTCATAGTTTCTGCATCCCAGACTTTTACATTGCTCCTTATATCCAACACAGAAATCCACTTATGTCTCCAGTGGATGTTTCTTAAGGCTGCAACTTTTTACAGATTGAGCTGCAGCAAGTGGATGGACGTTGCACGGGATTTCTGGGGGTTTTAGAACTTCCCACTGTGTTCATGCACCACCAGAAGCATGTACAGATCAGTGCATATTAAAAGTCAGTGACTACTTCACTGACAACTGCTTTAGTGATGAAATTTAAAGGTATGGATGATGCCCGTCACAAATTCTGGGCTGCATCTAGTTGTGTTTTTGGGCAAAATTTATGTCGTTCAGATGAATTTGCCTTCATGTTGCTTCACTAACAGTCAAATTTACAGCAATTCAAGCTGGATGACAGCAGCAAATCATTTTCTGGATGAGAAAACAACAAATCTGTTCGGTTATTCCAAGAGCTCATATTCTGCTTTTCCCTTTTCCTTTATGTTATAGCTTTACGTCTTAAAGGTCTACAAAGTTCCACCATCCAGTGTTACCTGCCTGAAACCATTAAACCAGTCTGACATTATTTCCGTGCTCGAGACACATCTGCCTTGGCGACGTCTCCCTACTTATACTCAGATCTGGTGTTAGGAAACATAAACATTCATGGTGGGATCAGCTGACCAATCAGAGCAGACTGGGCTTTTTACCAAGGAGGCCAAAACTGAGTTGTTTTTGTTTTTTTTAACATTAAAGCACATAAACATGTTCTAGTAGACCAGAAAAATAAGATTATAATCATGTAAATTGGCATAAGAAGGGCTCTTTAAGTTTCTGTTAGTGGAACAAAGAGTTTCAAGGCTGGTTTTTCTTTCACCATCCTGATCCAGAAATGTTAACATCCTCCCCGTTTAATCCGTTTTTGTCCTATATTGTAAATATTCTGAGCTCTAAATCTCTTCAGCCTGCTAACGTTTTGGTTTTCCTCCTCAGTCCTACGTGCTCTTAGCCATCGTCATCTTCCTGCCCTACATCTCCCAGTGTTTGAAGTGGTGTCGCAGCAAAGCCATTGGTAAGCACCGGATTTTACAGGCACTTCGCAAATATTTGCTCACCTGCAGCCACATAGATTTCATTTGTTCGTCAGCTTTGACCAACTTGAGCCAAATCTTCTGTATCAGGTCAGGTGGAGGAGACTCCAGACTCCATGTTGTTTTACACCTACCTGCCCAACGAACCCCTCAGCAAGGACCGCGTGGAGGCTTTCAGTGACGGAGTTTACGCCATCGTAGCGACGCTGCTCATCCTGGACATATGGTTTGTTTCGCTTTGTTTCCTTGAATGCGCAGATGCAGTTGTGAGCTAAAGTTTCTGTAAACCTGTAAGGACCATGTATATCTATCTGGGCTGTGTTGAGTTTCCAATGACTCCTACAACCTAATTTTCTACGATTCAAACACATGCGTCACATGCAAACACAAAAAAGAATCATGATTCTTTCATGGATTTATTATAGATGAAATCTGCTGGGTCACAAATATACATACAGCATCATCAGGTCTGGTGATGTAGAGAGTTGTGTTAGTCAAGTTGTTTTAAGTGGCACGACCTCGTAACTTATTGTGAGTGATTATGACTGACGACAGCTGCTACATAGAACCCATTTGATAAACTCAATAACTCAGCAACTACAGTTGACTTCAGTCAAATACTAGTATTGCTCAGTGTATAGTTTTGACCCAGCAGAGTTTGTTGTATTTTCAGAGAACCTATGATAAATCTATAAATAAGACCAAAAATGCATGATTGTTTTTTTCACAATTAATTGTTTTAGGAATCATTGCAAACTCAAAACTGCGAAGCTATCCAGTCATGAACAAAAGCTTCCAGCAACTTGAATTATCAGCTATGGTGATGCAGAAAGTTGCGTTAATCAGATTTTCACCTCTTGTGAGTTACGTTCGGCTACAGCTGCTGACTCCTCTGAGCTGATTTCAATAGGACCCATTCAATAAATGCACTTGACTGAGCAATTACAATTATAATTGACGACAGCTGCTATGTTTTACCAAATATTAACATTGCTGTATGAATATTTTTGATCCCCAAGATAATATATTTCCAGAAGATTTCTAATAAATCTATAAAACAACCAAATAGCTATTAGCAGGTACAGTTAGGAGTTACAGGAGTCATTGGAAACTCAACATTGCCATGATGTACAGTTGTAAAGACCACATGCATCCTGGTAGTCCTGAGTTTCCAGTGACTCCTACAACTTTAAACTTTCTATGATGGAATCATTGAAACAAACGCGTCTTTTTTCACGCAACATCTGCTGGGTCAAAAATATACATACAGCAACTTAAATGATGGGTTTTGGTAATGTAGAGTCGCATTAATCAAACTTTCTTAGTGGAATGACCGCTTAACTTCCTGTTGGGTCAGAAATACATCTACAGAAATGCTAACATTTGATCAAACGTCTTTTAGCCATTTTCACCTCAACTAGACACTTCTGGTTTCCATCTACGAGCTTCCTGATGTACCTTTGACCCTCCTCTTGACAGAATTGGTAGTTAAACTAAATATGTTGGCTTTCTTGTTAAATCACCACGGTCCACAGGTTCTTGATGGGGTTTACATCAGGACAAGTTTATGTAAACTTTGGGTCATGACTGTACAGGATGGCTTTTTAGCAACATGTGTAGAAGCTCAGTTTTCTTAAACACAATTATAGATTAAATGTGATCATTAGATTAAGAAGTTCCCCTTCATTACTCTGGTTCCTTTCTTTCAGCGAGGACAACGTTCCCGACCCGATGGTGGTGAAGAAGCAGTTCGGCGGCAGCCTGATCGCGGCGCTGCAGGTCTACGGTCCGGAGTACCTCGCCTACTTTGGCTCCTTCGCCACCGTTGGCCTCCTCTGGTTCGTCCATCACTCGCTCTTCCTCCACGTCACCAAGACGACGCGCTTCATGGGCCTCCTGAACACCTTCTCGCTGGCGTTCGTCGGAGGTTTGCCGTTAGCCTACCAGCTGACGCACGAGTTCCCGCGCAACTCTCGCAACGAGCTGGAGGCCATTCAGATCAGCTGTGTCATCATTTTCTTCGCGGGAATATTTCAGCTCGCCATCTGGGTGGTCGCGCTTTACAACGAGCAGGAGACTCTGCACCCGTACGTACGCTACGGCGGACGCGAGCACGTGTTTATGCTAGCCAAGCTAGCTCTGTACCCCTGTGTAGCTTTGGGGACGTTTTTCCTGACGTGCATTTTGAGTAAATTTAGCGCCCCAATTTTCCACCTGATGGAGATCACGGTGCCTTTTGCTTTTCTTGTGTTGAGGATTTTAGTGCGCATCGGGCTCGCGCTGCTGAGGCTGATTTTCTGCCCCGACAGGCCCGATCCGAGGACGGTGGTGGTGGAGGAGGAAGGTGACGAAACAAGAGTGCCGTTTAATGCTTTAGTCACTTAGCTAGCTTGACGGGAGGGAATGAAGAGTTGCTGCTTAGGTTTGACCTCATCGGGAGCATGTTGGGGTTTAAATTAGGAACAAAAGGGTGGTTTGTTCTTTTGCTCACCGTTTAAACTGGTTCAAATCTCACGAAGGAGCTGGTGCAAATGGGATTAGACATCACCGCTCACATTGATGGAGAAATCTAGATCCCATACGGGTGAAGAAAACTTACCGATACTGGAAGCCAAAGCCTACTGATTCAGTTGATTTTCTTAACAGTAACAGGAAGAACAACCTAACGCTAGTCTGATCAGACTCCTACATCACTCTTTTGTGCAAAGTACAGTCCGTCCAACTGCTGTGGGTTTGATCCAGCCTTTATTCATTCTTTTTTTTTACCTTTGTAACATGTTCGGCCAGATTCAGCTGCAGAAAGTCGTGCGTGAGTACTGATGACCGAATTATTTCTAAGTACGTTGCAGGGAAAGATGTAACTGCAGCACAAACAGGCGTGGGTTTAAGTCTGGGCACTTTAAACTTTGTACTGATAAGAAAAGGCCATAAACTTTCAAATTGCACTATTTAAAGTGTTTTCAGTCCGATATGTGTGAGTGTGATACCTCCAGGAATGTACTCATCTTTTTTTGAATTCATCTCGGTGTTGCGTCGTATTTAAATACGATTAGAAGACTGTGCACTTCAATCCCTCCTGAAACATGTAAACGTAGTAAAGGGTCAAATTGAGCATGTCTGGGTCACGTTTTTCAGTTTTGTGTTCGACATACCAATATCAGGTTTTCTTGACAATTCAGGATTTGAAGTCAAAAATCCAAGATTCTCATTGGAACATCCAAACACGTTAGTCGTCCTGATTTCTCCAGCAGGGGTCGCTGTTTGCCACGTTCATCACTTTAATGTAGGGATGCACAACGCTGGACTTGTGCCAATATCCAATATGCTAATACTGATTTATGCACGTATGTTTTTCCAGCTGGTCTTTCCTGTCGTGGATTTAACATTTTATTATGCTAATTCTTACAGTGTGGACTCACTGGTAGCTGCTTTAAAAAACATATGCTTTCACTGGGAACAACAAGAAATCTACTCCATCAACAGAAGTGTGAACCTTCAGTCTGCTGATATTTAATCTTAAAAGCCGATATCGTTGTGCATCCCGACGTTAATCATGATATTTGTGTTTTAATGCTGACTCGGAGGGGACTTAAACGTGACACGCACTTTAATAAAAACTTCCCCGGGGGATGGAGAAGAGTTAAGTTATACTGACAGGGACGAAATATCAACAAGAAGTTATATTTTTTAAGATGAGGAGTGAGAAGAAAAAAAAAAAAACAACTCAGCTGGCTCTGAATGTGGACATTTTGACTCATCTTTTTTTTTTCACATTTCGCTTCACTTTCAGATTCAAACTGCATAAAATCTGGTTTTATTTGACGTGTATTCTGTATCTGTTGTGATCTGTAATCATGTCTGGTAAATGATTTTATAGATATAGATATCATTTTGTTTCCTCATCTGTCATGTAGCCAAAATAATAAACATGCTGTCAGATATTTTGACCCAAAATGAAAAACTATATTTATATATCACACGTTAAAAAACATGCTTTCTTTAGAACTCAGTCTTTTTTTGTGTGTGTTGCCTTTCTCCAACTTGTTTCTCGAGGCCAGAATAGTCGACAGTGAACATCTGAGGCGCTCTAATGCTTAAATGTCTGTTTGTAAAAGCTGCATCACGCTGCGTCTGCTCTTTCACACTCTGCCAAAATCTATTTTTTAAATGTCAAAACACAAACTGTCAAGCTTTGTTAATGTGAATAAATCTGAAGTTGGTCCTTTAATGTGAAACCGAATCTCTCACGTTGTCATTTTTGGAAAAAAACAAAACAAAACACATGAAACACAATGAGAGACACGATTTAAAGAAAAAAAAAAACTTTATTCACCTCCATACAATAAACATCTTCACAATATTCCCCGCCCAGATATCTCTGTGTTTTTTATACATTACTTGGTTTCGCCCCCTAATATTAACAGCTTCAGAATAATCGTATCCACTCCAAAAGCTAAAAGTTCTCATTAGAAAACAGTCCTGCTCAAAGCAAATCAAACAATATACACAACATGATAAATTAAAAAGACACCCGGGCCCCTAAAACTACCTGTTTTCTTTCTTACCTTCACATTTGTGTTTTTTTAAATCTTTATAACGAGGGTAAAAATACAAAATTGCACACATAATAACTTAAATCTAATTCGAACTACGACTGGAGGCTCGAACGTACCGATGGAATCGTCTTAATTATAATGTTCAAATTTAAATTTACATAGACGTGTGAAAGTTGCTAATTGAAGGTGAAAAATTTCATCAAAGAACTCGAATCATTTAATGCTTCAGCTTCTCAAGTGTGAACATTTGCTGTTTTCTTTGCTTTATATCACTGAATATGAATTGCTTCTGACATTTTACAGCCAAACATTCAGACAAATCAACAACAAAAAAAATATTTAAGGGATCTTTAAATGGAAACTCAAGAGTCAAATTTAAATTTACATAGAAATGTGTGAAAGTTGCTAATTGAAGGTTAAAAATTTCATCAAAGAACTCGAATCATTTAATGCTTCAGCTTCTCAAGTGTGAAGATTTGCTGTTTTTCTTTGCTTTATATCACTGAATAGGAATTGCTTCTGACATTTTACAGCCAAACATTCAGACAAATCAACAACAAAAAAATATTTAAGGGATCTTCAAATGGAATCTCAAGAGTAAAAGTTAAATTTAAGACACTTAAATGCCTGAATTAGTTCAGTAATAATACTTATCTATATGTTTGGATATAATATAAATGTTGTTTTTAATGGTCTGATCAACTTACTAGTGTTTATTTCCTCCAGTGGTACACTCAAGACTCCAGATAAAACCAGTTTAAATCATTTGGTTTTGATTTCTGTCTCCTGTTTTTGGTCAGATTGCTTCACCGTCAACACTCATCTCACTCAGTATTCATGCTGGACGGTGGCGGCTGCAAACAGAAAAAGCCTGTAAAGCATTAATTTGCGTTTCTGTTATTGATCGGGGTTAGTTCGATTCCTACAGTACAACACAGCTGGTCCCGAAAATCCCACCCCAGCACTCCCCATTCACTTCAAATGGGGGAACACAAGCTAAAAATGTACGCTTTAACAGAACAAACTGGACAAAAAATAAATTAAAACATCCTCCGACCAACAGCTGGACGATGGGAACCAAGCTGACGCACATTTTACGGGCCACAGACGTCCACACTTTCCTCTGTGTTCTGGTTTTTCAGAGCAATCAGAGGATGTTTGGAGCTTCTTTTTGTTTCCCCACTTACAGAAGAAAATCAGTGTTGATCAGACAGAGCTTTGGTAAACATTCCTCGCTGTAAAGATCGAGCAGAGAATCTCGTCGCAGCCTCGTAACAATCATCCGACTCATCGCACCGACCGGCAGCTCATCACAAATGCCGGCAGAATTACAATATTGCTCATAAAACCTCCTCCTAAAAGAGTTTTCTCTCCTTAAAATGTGTAAATACAGTAGTGCACTTACTGTACGTACACATCGTACAGTTCAGACTGTCATCCGGTACCACTGACAACATCTCCTATTGCAAAACTACATTCAGAACTTAATCATAGAACAGTGATTGGATGTGAAAGGTTTAACAGTGCAACTAAAATCATTGGTTGAATCAATAAAGGAAGCACTGACGTTTTTCAATTTAAAGGAAAATATTTGGAAATGTGCTTTCTTTCTTTTCTTTTCTTTCTCACAAGAGTCAAGTGGATGTCGCTCTCATTTCTGTACATTCAGCGCAGAATGAAGTTGTTCCCACAAAAGCTCACAGATGAACATGCGTCCTGTTTGTTTGAGCTGTAAAAACTACAGTTTGTAGTTTTAGACCTGGTTGAAGAGTCTCTTTATGCACAGAGCGAGATAAATACTTCCAATATAGATCATCTGGGCTCTCACAAGCAGCGTTTATGTATATTTATCAAGTGAATTTTCAAATACAAATATAATAGAAGTACCAGCCTGATGGAAAACATTAATCAAGTTGTTTCATGAAATTCATTTTTTCATAAGCTAGAAGTTTGCCTGAACATCAATCAAAGGTAAAATACATTTTAAAGGCTGGTTAGCTCGAGAGAAGATTTTTCTAAAAGCAACATTTGTCAAATTATTTAAATAAAACCTGCTTTATTGCATTTTTGTACTGATTTCCACAGTAGCCATGTTTCCTTATAATTGACAAGTTTGTCAAACTGTTAAAATTTAATAAAAATGTAAAATTTATTAAATAAAAGAAATGCAAATTAGGCTCCATTTGCCACGTTGGAGCGAATAAACTAGACTGTGTGGTGTCGTCGTAAGAAGCTGGAAACAAAATGAGTTGTTTGCTAACTGTTTAAAAAAAACTCTAAAAGAAGAAGAAAACTAAAAAAAACAATTTTCACTAAGGAGAGTTGTATTACTCTTTCATGTTGGCTAGTTTTGGCCACATTTCCATGGACTTAGAGAACTAAAGAAGCAAAAACAGCATATTTAAATTCTCACTTAATCAGAATTTAACTGGAAAAACTCCCATGAAGCACCTCAGGTGAGCATCTAAACTTTTTTTTGTGTGAAATTCAGGGAATTTCTTAAGTTTTCTGATTCACTTTTTCTAATGCAAAATTTAAAAATGTGCTTAAAAATACAATCTGGAAATATGACTGATTAATCTCCCCACTTGAACTAATGTGACCCCACATGAGCTAATCTCCACAGTGAGACTTCTGGCTTTTTTACCGCCAATGTACGAACTCTGATTTTTGAATTCCTGGAGTTATATCGTTGTAGTTTCCAGATATGACACTGGAACTTTCTAATCTCAAGCACATAAAGATCAGACGGGATGAAAGAAACCAGGTTAGAAACTGTAAACTGAAGTTATTTACATCCCAGTGCAGCATCCATGTCACTGTCTAAGCTTTTCTACTTCTCTCTTATGCTAAGCTAACCGCCTCCTAGCTTCATCTCTGCGCTTCAGGTACAGACACGAGAGCGGCATTTATCTTATCCACCTCCCAGAAAGAAAACCAATAAGTCCATTTCCCACATGTCCACTCCCTCCTTTAAATTCTTTTGTTTTTTTTGTTTTTTTTCACAATTTCTAGTAAAAGCTCACCCGGAACACCCTCTAAAATAAGCAGCAACCTCAGATCAAATGTACATCGCTACCTGTTAAAAATCTAATCTGCTCATGCTAAAGGCTACAAATGATCTTTTTTTTGTTGTTGTTTTGTTTTTGCATATCATTTCTCATAGCTTAAAAGTGTTTTTTTTTTTTTTCTTTTTCCGCAGCAGGTCACATAAGTAGTTATATATTAGTTATTTGTTCAGCTAAATATTCTCAATATATTTATGTACAATACATTAATTCAAGTGTCGAGTGCGCAGACGACGCTCTACTCTCTGCGTTAACATGCCTACAGTCAATCGGTGTTGACTTATATTGTGCGAGTTACTTTGATTTAGTCAGAAAAACCTCTAAAAGCTAAAAGTTCACGCGGTGGAAGTGGAGAATAAACATGGCTTCAGTTAGCTGTAGACAGGACTCGCGTACATGCTACATGTTTAGTTAAGCTGTGAGGTTAGGACCATTAATAGAGCGTAGTCTATAAAACAGTGTCTACAGTATGTTTGCATCGTTACTGCACCAAACCCAGGGAGACGTTCCTCCACAGTCTGTTTGCTGGAGCTCAGGTCCACGTGCCCAACACACTGGGCCCAGTTTATGCTGGTAGAAGCTTCTTAAATCTCTGTTTTTTTTGTTTTTTTAACTCTTTTCAGCTAAAGTCAGTGCAATGTTTGCCGTCCACAGTGAAGCAGCACCTCCGCCATCCGCCCGCGCTGAGGAAGCCGTGTGCTTTAGAGTCGCTTCTGTTCAGTGAGACGTCGTATCTTCAGTTTGTAGGATGGCGACTGCTGCTTCACTCGTTGTCTTTGTGGTGTTTTGTTTTTTTTTTTTTTTTTTTTTTTTAACTTCTAGGTTATCCCTTGCAGTCTGGAGAGTCACCTCAGGTCCAAAGTTGTGATTTGAAGCTGGTTGGAGGTTGAGTAAAGCGTCGACAGGATGAGGATGGATGCTCCGACGGAGGCCTGGGATCGCACACCATACAGCCATGCTGCATGTGTGTGTGCGTCAGTGTTGTGTCTATGAGTGTGTACATGCTTACACAAACTTTGAAAACCACCCCCGACGCTCTCTCCGGTCATCCTCCCGTGAGGCTGGCGGCGTCTCTCACTTGGCCTGGGCGGCGGCGGCGGGCGGCAGCATGCCTCGGTCTCTCAGGTGGGAGTGCAGAGTGTGGAAGATGCTGAGCTGCTGTTCAGGCTGAAGCATCAGCAGCTGCTGCAGAACCTTGCTGGGGTTCGGTCCTCTGCAACACAAACATTTAGAATGAACCACAACATAGACGTACAGAAACATAGTCCCAAACCCAGAGACGCTCCTATCGACCAGCAGAGGTTCTAAAAGAATCTTTTGTTACTGCAGAACAAAAATCTCATTAAATCCCATTTTAAAATGTGCAAAGCATGAACCAGTTATCACACCAATATATCCACAGTGTCAGAGTTAATGTACTGCATAAAGCACACAGAAAAACAGACTCAGCTGTCTCACTTACTGAGCAGGCCATATACAAGTATGGGTGACTCATATGCATGGGATTTCAGTGGCTTTGCATATTTCCAGCATTTCCAGCAGCCTGGTTATCAATGTTTATGGAGGTAAGGCTTGTTATACGAGTGTTTCTATCTTTAAATAAAAGACCTGGTTTATACTGTACTTATGAGTAGAGTATGAATCTTGTCCTGTTTTTGGAGCTGTAGGTCTCTGAGGAGAATCCTGGATGTAAAAAGAGGCCTTAAAGGTGAGTTACCAGACAGATAAGGGACTACCTGTTCATATAATTTATTTTTTTAACAACAGCATTACAGCCATGATCTCCAATCAAGGAATGCAAAGTTTGAATGATCTCCTTAGTCGGCAGCATTATCAATCAATAATAGATTCATTGATGATAAGAGCAAGAGAGTGCAGGAAACACTATTCCATATGCTGTTATTGCCGTTTTTGACAACAGACATGACATTTGCAGTGAATGTGGCTGGACTGCATTTGTCTCTAGCCCGTCTTAGTTGACATATTCAATATATGAGTCATTTCCTGTCACACAGGACTTTGTCATGGTGCCTGTTGGTCTCTAAACTCCCATAATGCTCTCTGCACGTCAATATGGAACTGCCTGTGATCCCAGTAACCATCTCCTTACAGCGTTAAACACTGCAATAATGTATTCTGTCTCATCAGCTGCTCAGAGGCTCCATCTGGTGGTCCGACCTGGTACTGCAGATAATCTACGACATTCATGTCCATCGTCTTCTAATTATTAGAACTACCTTGGACTCCACACCATCAAAACTGAGGAAGCATTTTGCCTTTTACAGGAACACTTGATTAAAAGAAGTGAGAATCTACACAGACAGA